AGATATAGGGTAGTCGGGTATATAAAAGAGGGTGACAACGTGACAGGGACAATAATGTGTGTGTAGATAGTGAGTAATTGAACTGCAGTCAGAAGTATTATTGACGTTCGTTGATATAGCGTTTGTTTTAGCGCGATTGTTGAAAATAAGTGTATCGTAAAGTTGTATTCGGAAAGAATAAACCAGTTTTATTAAGTAAAGACTTGTGTCGTTAAAGTTTCGTCGGAACGAAGTTACGGGAAGTTAATTAACAAACGGAGACGTAACAATATCATAGTTATATCATAAACACTATATAGATCTCTCCTTCTTGTCAAAAGTCCACTTAGGCCTATTCAATTGCTTTAGAATTCAGTTGACAAGCCGATCTATTTTTTCTATTTCTATCGCCAAATTATCTGTGTATAGTTCACTTACGTTGTCGTTGAGTTACCGCGGTTGTATCGTATACTTCAAATATCGTCTGCCTTTGTCAAAGTCCAATCAGGCTGGTTCAATTACTTTAGAAAATATTTTTGACAAGACAACTTATTCTCCTTATCTCTGCGAAATTGTTAATCTCACTCTATCATATCAACTTTTATGCCTTTCACTTCCACGACAATTAACTTTGCATTTAACTTTTCTCTGACTGAACTTCTCCTTCCTGTGACTTTACTTTACTCTCTTTTACTTTTTTTTCGCCTGTTTGCCGGTATTTAGACGCCTATCACTTAAGCCTTCTAGAAATCTCTATATTCTCGACATCAATGGATTGCACGCGACACTCGACAGCGTCGACATCACTGAATTATAAACACATCATACGATTCTTACTGAGTTACTTAACCAAACTTGTGATAACTATCGCCTTTAAAATAAGTGCTTTTAACTCTCTTGTTATAAAAAAAAAACAATCATGAAATATTCGCTCACAAAATAAATAAATAAATAATACCTACACTAAACAGTCTTTTATATCTAACAGATAAGCCACCCTAAGACTTGATAGTGCATGGTTAAGATACGCCACTCTAACACCAGGTATTACATTGTTAGTACGTGGTTAAGATACATCACCTAACACCTGGTAGTATATTGTTAGTATGTGGATAAGGTACAACATTATAACCTATAGCAGTATGTTGTAAGTATTTGGTTAAGATACACTACTCTAAAGCCTAGAAGTATATTGTTAGTGTGTGGTTAAGATATGCCACTTTATGGCTTGGTATTCCGTGGTTAATATACACCACTCTAAAACCTGGTAGTGTATTGTTGATACATCATCTTAACACCTGGCCGTATATTGCTTGTGCATAGTTAAGATACGCCACTTTAAACTTGGTAATGCGTGATCAATATACACCACTTTCACACCTGGCAGTATGATGTTAGTACATGGTTAAGATACATCACTCTAAAACTTGGTAGTGTGTGGTTAAGATACGTCAGTCTTTAAGATCTACCTAGTAGTAAATTGTTAGTACGTGGTTAGAAAACCTTATGAGAGACTAATCTGTTTCGTCTTTTTCATAAATAACCAAATGACTTATTTTTTAGAATTTCTCTGTAACTTAGCATTTTTCTATATAATTGCTCTATAAAGAGGGTTCAGTACGTTATAGTAAAACGACTTTGAATTTCCAAATCAGAAAGTCATGTAACAACCATAGCAGATAGAAGGGCATGTATCAGAACTTTGATGTTTTGTAGGTAGATTAATGCCATCAAAAATTGATTACCTTTGGAAAGGGCATGTAACAACTCTTTTTAACACAAAATATCATACACTCGGGTCATGAAGATCTGTTAAAGTTGGAATTTAGAATTTCCTAGACGGGATATTTCTTTTATTTAATAATGCCATAGGGGGAAAAATATGGATGAATTTGGGAACCCAGAACCATTCACAAAAAAGACTTGCAACAAGTCGTACCCCCATCCTCAGTAAGCAAAGGGTGGCGTTTTGCAACTGGTGAGAATACCTACATATTCATTCTCTTCTCTACACGAATATAATATTCGTGTCTAGAATAATTAAAAGATTTCTTCCAATGAATTTTTGTGACAAAGTTATACAAAATAAATAGTTGATGTTGCTAGACTCGGTTTGCCATATGGCAAACTCACTATTGAAGGAACTCACTATCTTGCTAAGAAACCATTCATTAAGTCGTGGACTAATCAGCTTAGTTCTATGACTAGCCGAATGCTGAATGCACATACATGTTTATTTTTACTGTGTGATGACCGGAGTAGTGACATTTCGAACTACGTTATTTCATGCATTGCTATTAATTTTGAGGAAGAGCACAAAATAACCTATGCTTACACATTGTACTTTGGCTAAACAACAGAGTTTATTTAACTAACGATTACAACGAACTCTGAACACACATTACCAATACTAAACGCATTCAAAGTTAGGGTTAGCACGGACAAGGTCACATCAGGAAAGAAATATCCGTCATGGAAAAGTCCACAACATCTCTTTGTTTTTGGGGTGATCTTCGTAGTGAAACAATTAAAGTTCTTGAAAGAGTGTTTGTCTCCGAATTATCACGCAAAGCTACACAAAGGTTTATCAGCATCTAGCCGTCCATAGTTTTGAGCTGATAACCTGAAAGGAAAGCACAATGTCATCAGAACCATCAACTCCTGGGCCACTCTTGCCTGCCAGAATAGTAGGATTCGACCATACTCTAATAGCACACCCATATCCCCAATGTGTGGAACACAATTTTTAAGTAACGGGACGCTTTGCGTAAACCCTCTCATTTCAAGTTTGAGTATGCTATCCGCTAAAATATAAATACCATCTTCATTTGCTATTTCCCAGGTAAGTGCAAACCGAATCTGATACTGGGTAAATTGGAGGGGTGAGACAAGAACTGGATTGTTCAGCGTGATATGAACGATGGTTTGAAGGAAGGAGGAGACTTAGAAAATATAATACTGCCTTGGTAACACTTTAAGGTATAAGAGCACTACCTAGTAAAATCTACGTTGCAGATCTATTGTCAGGATGCACAACAGTCAAATGCATAACCGAACATGGAAACATCGACTGAAACTACGTGGTGAAAATCCAAACTCTATTCAGTGTAACATGTTCAACCGCTGTACATCATGTCACATGCAAATGTTAATATTATAAAATTTGTCACTGCAAAATTATAACAGTCATTGTTAGAAAAACTCCATTTTATTTACAGTTATATCTTATTTAATTTTCACTTTGAGTCCAATTTAGATATTGTAACTGCAATGGAATACACAGCGTTAGAAAAACAGTTACTGCAAATGCCTATTAAATTATCCTGTGCGTTTGATTGGATTAAAATAAATTTACAGTTATTTCAAATATAAAAATAAGACATTTTAGAGGCAAGCTGAATGTGCATTGCAGTGCAAATGTAGCACTTTATTTTTATATAGTAGTACCACTCTGACTTATTGACTTATATCAGCTTCTCAAAGAGAAATCACAGAGGCAAATTGCACATTATAATTTAAAACAAAATATTATGTACTATTGTCTTTTCAAAAATTACACGTAACTCACCTTGAACCTGGGGACATCTATTATAGCCACACTTCTATCACTAGCGCATGATTGAAAAAAACTAGGAGCAACACTAACTCCAAGAGCTTCTGATGACATACCATTTTGTGTAGTCGGTGATGAAATGGCAATTGCGTGGAATGTCCCAAAAAGAAGCACCAGTAAGTATTGAGCAACAGAGGGGAGGGAAATGATTAACCTGTAAGTATAAAAAGGGATTTAAACAGGAAAACTCAATGCATGTTTTCACCCAAATTGTAGTTCCATGCACAAATTATCAATTTAAAGAAAAATAAAAATTCATGCACTTACCTCACTTCTAGTCCGTTACATTACATATTAAATTTACAATAATTTCCAAATCATCACTCATACCGTAAGGCATTTCTTGCCCTGGCGCTAAAATAGGCAGATTCTTTCACACCAAAGGCCAAACTATTAACTGTTTTACTGAATAAATATGTTTTCAAATATCTCAAACACATAAAAGCTGTAACCACGAATAACCGTCGTCATTTTAACCGATCATTATTTGGACTTTTGAAGAATCAGAGAATGAATGCTATATTTACTACATATTAGAGAAACAGTCATATATGTTTTGGCCAACAGTAACGACTTTGTTTTCATTCTTCCGCTGACAAAAACCGAGATTATAGAGTCAAAGATTCTATAAATTTCTAAAATGCTTTACAGATTCACAAATCAAGCGTGATTGCTTGTTCTTCCATCTGAATATAAACATATGAAACTAAGGTATTCATGTATGACTTTTTTCTTTATCTGTCTACTTATTATTGAGATAAATTGTGTTTGGTTAATGGAGATGAAACTGCAAGATGGGGATTATTTGTTGTTATGCACATCGCAGGTATCGACACCCAATGTTTAGAGTTATAAACGTTCAGATTTCCCACTGAGCTACCGGAGACATCAAATGAGGAAGTTATGTAGTATTTATAATGATGGGGATTATAAGTAATATATATATTGATGATTTGTCCAATATCAAGAAAAGGTAAATATATCAAATAATCATAATATTTCCCACAAGGTATCAAATAGAAAATCTCTTCAAGGAAGCTCCTTATGGACGAAAACACAAAATTATTATTAAGTTGTCAGTGCTAAATATAAAAGGCTTATACGACCTGGTGGTTATCGTGCTCGAACTATGAATCCGATAGTTTGTGATTCGCATCATATTCTTAAAAAAAAGAAAAAAACTTCCCACAATTTAAGGCATTGAGTGTGCTATAAGAGCGATGGTTAAATTCAACTGTTCTGTCAGGAAAGAATAGCCCAATAGCTGACAGTGGGTGCTGTTGACTGGCTACCTTCTCTCTAGTATATCAGCTCCAAATTATAGAAGACTATGCTCAGATAGAACTTGATTGTGTAGTTTTGCACAAAGTGCAATAACAGCTATGAAATACTGTTAAAAAGCTCCAAACCGAATACTATGCCTATCCTGGTAGCTAAATACACACAGAAATTAAAATAATAATCCCTACTACTAAAAATTAAGTCCGTTGCGTTCTTTATATCAAGAAGTTTGATCAGTATTACATTTTTACCTAAAAAGCTAATGTTTACTAACAATTCACTTTCTATGTATATGTATGTACGTTTCGTTAATTCTATCTTTCTTAGTTGTATCAAGAAGATAGCCATTCCCACGTAAACTTCAGAGATGTTTGGTTTTGGATTTAATCATTATATATTTGTCCTTCAAAATTTAGAATGAAGTCTTCAGCTGAACTTTAATGTTTCCCTTATGAAGCTATTTTATTTTGTTTTTCAGTTATGCTGCCGAAAATAGCAAGATCCATGAATCAAAACTTGTGAATGAAATACTTTTTGTTTTCTTTAAGTAACAAAACAATGACATTATATTAGAGTGTATGTAATGCTATATAATATAATATAATGCCCTCCAAAGGATCATTGGTAAGCCTTAAAGGCTTATAACACTAAAATTCAGAGTTCGATCACTGTGGTGGATCCTTGCAAATATTTTGTTGTGCAGTTTAAACATTTTATCACCAAAAACAAAATAAATACATGAGCTAAATTAGTAATTTCTTCTTCTACTTTAATTGAAAAAATCATAGTAACAATTAAAACTTTTAAGCTCAATATCGTTCAATTGACATTTCACCAGTAAATTTCATATTCTTGAATGAACTGTGAACCATTATAGTCCAGACACGTCAACCCTCAGATCATATCCAGCCCCAGAGTGAACATGCAACTTCACCATATTTCTGCTACCAATAAAAAAAAGAATAATCAACTTTCAATTGATCTACATGATATTAATCATGTACATTTACATTCTTTATTACATGTAATATACTTATAAATTACCTATGAATTTCGTTCAGTTTTTCATCTGTGTTTTCAATGTCAATTACATTGAAGAGCATATTTTCATTCTGTGGCCCAAAAATACCACCTGGAAGTTTCCTGATAAATTTCTGTAAGAAATACATATATAGAGGTGATATATATATAATAAATATCAATATATTTTAATGATATTATAGGCGATAATTTGATGATTTTCATGCAAAAATAGTTGGAATGTAAAAGCTTTTAATATTGAAAAGTAAAACTAAATTTTTATGAAATTTGATTACATTAGAAGAAAAATATTCTTATTAGTTCACAGCAGAGGCGTAGCTAGGTGCTTAAAAGATTCGAGAATTTTCGGCGTTTTAGTATGATGTCGATCATTGTTTTCTATTCTGATTTTTCAAGACACCAACTGGGAATTCGGGACACTGTCAAATAGAATCGGGACACGAGCCCCGTGTTCCAGCACCAAGCGACGCCTCTGGCTCACAGCTTTAGTAAACCTACATTATCCTGAATGTTAAGCACCAAAAGAAAAACATTAGATTAATAAACAAACACCAAAGTTTTGCGTATTCATATTTAAAAAAAAAACTTTATTAAGTATAAATAATGAACATTGATATAACTGAGTAAACTTCATACTAAATACTTCAAGACTGGAATACAGACATAGGTAATATAAACTAATGTCTTATTACCTTTAACACAGATGCGAGAGTGTGTGTTGAGAAACTGTCAATGTTGATAAGCTTTCCATGTTTAAGAAACTGAATTAGCTTCTTCACTTTCTTGTGATGGCCTGGTGCTCGAAAAATATCTTTTTTATAAGGCCCTTCTTTATTCAGTTTTAATATTAACACCTAAAATACTCAAGAGAAGGCATATAATGAGTTAAAAGGCAATGACAAAATATATATCTTATAAGAAATAAAACTATCGCTAGGCAAACTAATCAAATAACTACAAATAATAAATACTACATCTGTTTAAATTTTTATTTCGCTACATTATTAGAAAATTACATATATGCTTCATTTTACATAAGTTTACAAACTTTTTACAAGCAAAGTTTGTATGTTAATAAGGCAATGTTCAACAGGTGTTATTACAATCATTCAAAAATTACTGCTTTAGGCCTACCTCGTAATTTATATCATAAAAATTATGTAGTCGCTTTTAAACGTTGTTAAAAAGTCAAATTGTTATTTCTTTTTAATTCAGTGACTGCAAAATGTTAAATATGGGTATATAGTAAGTCTACTTAATATTAGATATCATAACGTATTGTATCAAACTGTAACCCATATTCACAGATTAAATGATTATAAAAGATATTATACCAAAAAACTAATTCATTTATCCATACATATAAAAATACTGATGTTATTCAATCCAACTATAAAAAAATGGGTGTATAAAAGCTTGCTTTTTATAAGTGAGAGAGAGAGTTTACATAAAATTTGTTCCTAAATTGTTCCAAAATAACCGTATTTGTTACATTTGAGTTCACATCTGTACAATGAATGTCTGAAGAAACTGAATAACCTTTTAATCTGTCTTCAATAATATTGTAGATACTTTTCGGAGAACTGTAAGTAAATGTGGACCACAACTGAACGTAAAATTCTAGTAATAGCTGTTCTAGAAAGGTAAACTGAATGTATTAATTCATATCACTATATTCACCGATACAGCCAATAATATATTCAAATATTTAACTTATCCGTTGTTAGACCATACACAAGATTGTTACAAAACAATACGAAAAGAGTGCAATACAGCCGAGAACTCTTCATGTTTGTAATTCTCTCTTCATGACAGCTTTGGAATATCTTACACCACCTATTCGTTCTTTGACAGATGTTTCTACAAAACAACGCATGAATGTAGAAAAGGACAACCTTTATAGTTAACGTTCTAGATCATAAAAGGATTGATTAACGATGCTCAAAGACGAAATGAACCTCGCGAAAATGTAAAATAACATAGTGACAGGAGAAGTATAGAATAAGTATAAAGAAGACAAAGGATAGGGTAATTGGAACTCGACAGAAAGTCTGTGGCTTTAACGTACTGAATGACAAACAATAGGCC